CTCACAACAACCCTACATAATAGGAACTGTTATTATCTCCACTTTATAAATAGGAAAATTGAAGACCAGAGACTAAGATTCACTATAGGAACAGTCTGGCTAGGAGGCTGCCATTGGTACCTCTGCTATGGGATACTCATTCCTCAACCATCCCTACATCTTTAGGTCACTATATCCCAGGCCATTCTTGGATAGGCTGAGCTTCAGTCGTGCTCATGTGTGCCCATGCTCATTGGAAATTAAGGACAGATGTTGTCTGGCTCCTTTCAACCCCCATGATGGAGGCTGAGCCATGCCTTCAACCAAAACTCAAACACTGGGTGACTTGCCCCTGTATGAGTTATCTTTGCTGTGTAACAAATTAGCTCAAATCATAGCTACTTAAAACAATAAACATTATGTAACAATTTCTGTGAGTCAGGAATCTAGATACCATTTTGCTGGGTTGTTTGGCCCAGGGTCTCTCACGAGAAGCAATTATGCTGTTGGCCAGGAGTACAGTCATCTCAAGCCTCACCTAGCTGAGGATCCACTTCCAAGCTCATTCATGTGGCTCAGGTCTTTGCTGGCTGTTAGCTAGCATCATCAGTTCCTTGCTACATAGGCCTCTCCACAGAGGTACTTACACCATGGCAGCTAGCTTCCCCCAGAGTAGAAAGAGAGAGAGAGAGATGTAAATGGCTTCTCAATGCAATAATTAGGAAGAAAGGAGAAAAGGGCCAAAAGAGGGAATTAAGGTTAAGAGGCAAGGGCAAACCAAAGGACTGGTTAAATGGCTTGACCGCCAATGTTTTTCTTTTGCTTTTTCATGTGTTAGGCAGATAGACTCCATATGGAAAAGAGTATAACTTAAAACTAAAGGAAAACTAATATAGTCAAAGATCAGGAATCCACCATGTAGCAAGAAATGAGCAAAATCTCAGTATGAAAAACGTGCAAGCATAATTTTAAAAAGGATAAAGCTGAAGCAGTCTAACAGTTGCCATGAAATACAAGATCATTGGAACAGATGGAAATTGTCAATGATGTTATGCAGGTAGAGAAAGGAAAGTTAACTCCTGGGAAAAATGAGTCAGAGTTTGAAGCCTATAAGGTAGTGGCATCATGCTAATGGAGAAACTCGTACCTTCCTGTTTCAGTGTTAGAGCTCACAATTAAAGGTGCTTTGGGGAGCCTTCGTTATGTACAGAATTACTTCCCATATACCCTGAGTCCTGTGCCCTAGTAGCGTTGAAACCCTTTTGACTTGGACAAAGAATGAGAAATACATTCTGCACAGCAACAATGTGCACACACAATCAAACACACATAACTGAAGCATAAGTTTTATGAAAATAATAGTTATTATGTGCTATGCACTCAGATTTTTATGTTCTATTGTCTCTCATTTTTAAATTCTAGTCAAGAGTTACTGTGTGGATTTCATGATGAACCATTAATGGGTTATGATATGCGAGATTGAAAAATACTGCTCTGTAAGACTTTCGCCCATTTTCACCCTGAATTACAGAGAATAGTCAGGATAAAGCCACAAAGCCCAAATTTATATCAGCTGACTTCCCCATGGGGGGAAAAAGGGGAATTAGGTATGAAATATATATTTCTTTTAAAGATTATAATAATGCATAAAGTTGAACCAAGTATTTTTAATTTTTTTCTGTATGTGTTTATTTTCCCCGTTCTCATTTCTTATTTTGTGTCTTCGTGCTTTCTTCTTTTTTTATTTCTTACATTAGTAGTTTATTATTTTTCAAAGAATCAGTTCTTGGATTTATTTATTAGTTCTACCATTTTCAAATCTCTGCTTTGTTAATTTTTTTTTTTTTACTACGTTGTTAATTTTTTGTAATTGATCTTTACTTTGCTCTCCTTAGGTTTATTTTGTTTTTCTTTTACATTTTTTAAAATTCACTGTTTACTTACTTTAATTTTTCTTTTGTATTAGTTGTCTATTGCTAATTATTGCTAATAAATAACCCTAAAACTTGGTGACTTAAAACAGCATACATTTATTATCTCACATTTTCTGTGGGTGAGAAATTCAGGCTTCGCTGGGCTCTCTGCTTTAGGATCTATCATGAGGCTGCCATCAAAGTGTTTCCAAGGACATGGTCATCTCCAGGTTCAGCTGGGACTGAACTACTTCCAAACTTGTGGCTGTTGGTAGAATTCAGTTCCTTGTTAGCTGTTGGTCCAAGGTTGGATGCTAGTTCTTTGACAGATGGACTTCTTAATCAGAGCAGCCATGAGAGAAGAGCCAGTAACAAAATTAGCAGTAAGATGAAAGTCACAGTCTTTTATAATAAAGGAAACTAAAATATGTCACCCCAAAATATGCATCTCTGAAATAAAAATTTTTTTGAGCTAAAGTCATGTGAGAAGAAACAGATATAAGAAAATCCCCCAGCCTTTCCCTTATTTGCCTAAAGGTAGAACATAAATATTCAAAGATGTCCTTCCTCCCTTCTCTACCAAAAAGGAAAAAATTTAATTATCAGAGATAACTTTAGACTTCTATCAGCATGGAGATGGCACCAGGGGAATCTGTGTAACAAACTTTGCTAACTAGACTTTACCTGCCATCGGTTTCTCATATATTTACCTTCCCACAGTTTGCTACCCTTGAAAGTCTAAAACCACTTTTCTTTGTCCTGTCATTTCTCTACAAATGTTTTGTTCCTTGTCGAAGATACTGTATAAGCCAGTGTTCTAAGCCACCTCTTTGAGTTACTCTTTTCCTGAGATATACATGTTAATAACTGGTTTGTTTTTCTCTTAATTTGTCTTTTGTTACAGATGCCCCAGCTGAAGACTTAGAAGGGTAGAAGGAAAAGGGTTTTTTTCCTCCCCTGTTATAATTTAATGAAAGAAGTTTCAGTCCATCACTATTGCCATATTCCATTCATTGGGAGTGAATCAATCATTTGGATGTGGTTCCATAGTGTAGCGGTTAGCACATCTGCTTTAGAAGCAGAAGGTCCTGGGTTCACGCCCCAGTGGAGCCACGGTCCATGGTCTACGGCCATGTCACCCGTAACAAGCCTTATGTTTGATCTCAGAAGCTAAGCAAAGTCAGGCCTAGTTAGTACTTGGATTGGAGACCACTTAAGAAGACCAGGTGCTGTAGGCATAAATAATAAAAAATTAAAAAATTTAAAAAATGTGAATCATTAGGTCTAGTCTATATCAAGGGGGAAAGATTACCCAAAGATCTGAACACCAGGAAGAAGGGATCACTAGGAGCCATGTCAGAACTGCCTACCACAGTCAATCCCCAGGTCATTTACAGACAGACACAGAATGGCAAAAAAAAAAAAAAAAAATTGAGTTGGCTGAAGCACTTGTTTCCAGCTGAGGTCGAATAAGGCGATGCTCTTCCTTCTTACTTCCTCTCATACTCTAAACAAGTGTCTTTTCCAGTCTATTTAGTACCACATTTTTCACATTTTTGTGGGGGGTTTTGCTGGTAATTTTGCTGTTTATGCCCTCCACATTAAGTGCGTAAGTATTGCCTAGTGTCTCTAAATGCCAGAAGGTTGTGATGAGCCTTAAAGAGAAAATACATGTATTAGATGAGCTTCATTCAGACATGAGTTGTAGTGCTGTTGGACATGAGTTCAATGTTAACCAATCAACAATATGTATAAAATAAGATGTCTTTAAACATAAACACCCATCAGACAAAGTTATGTATTGATTGTTTGACAAAAATATTATGACCAGACTCCCAGGAAGATTACCCTGTGTTTTCCCAAGTAATGATTCAGTATTCCCTGATTCAGTGTTTTTGGCAACTTTACACTACATAACTACTGCAAATAACATAGATCAGCTTTATAAGTGTTTGTATTTGAGGCTATGACTTTTCTTCCCATCTAGGCTATAAATGCATCTCAAAATTCTGATATGTAGACTGTGCCTGTTGTTAAGCTATTATCTGCCACCTCCAAACCCAGAAATAATTGCTTTCCAAGAACCTCGAGTCCTATATACTAATGTTTTGCTTGTTGTTGTTGTTGTTGGTGGTGGTTGTTTATACTAGTTGTTTTGAAACCTTCGTGCTGAGCTTTGTGAAGTGGGGCTGGAACCCTACAAACTACATTCCTTTGTCAGCTGGCTGCTGTTAAGTTCTGCCAACAGGAGACACTAGAGGGAGACTTGAAGACAAGAGGAGGAAGCAGGAACTTTGGCCCACAATGCCTCTTTACCTTGCCAGGGGCAACAGCAGCTGGTTTTAGCCTCTATATTTTTTTCTGTGCTCTCTGAACCAGTCCCACTATGCGCTTCAGAGGCCAGAGTCTCAGTTCCGTGGAACCTTTCCTATAACATGATAGCTGCTACCTGCAAACATTACCTCAGCGTTACCTCAGTGTTCCTTTGCTTTTTTCAGTCCTTTACCGTGTGCATCACCAAATTTAATTTCCAAATTAAATTCTCTCTATAGAACTACCTACTATAGTTTCTGTTTTCCTGGAAGCTAAATGATACATAGAAATTCTTTAACTTTTTATTTTGAAATTATTTCAAATTTATAGAAACCTTAGAAGAATAGTACAGAGAAATTCTGGATACCTTTATACCTTTTACTCAAATTCATGCATTTTTTTTTCATTGAGGTGAAATTCAGCAAATATAAAATTAACCATCAGTGAATAAATAAGTGGCAATAAGTACATTCACAATGAATCCGTCAATTTTTGATACTTTGCCACATTTGCTTTACAATTCACCACCTACATATACATATGTTTGTATGTATACTTCTGCATATTTTTTTCTCAACCATTGAGAGTAAGTTGCATACATAGTCCTTTACTTGTTACTACAATTATATGTACTTCTGAAGAAGAATATTTCATATAAAAACTATTGATATGTTACTTTTATATATAATCCATAATCCAATTTCAAAAATTGTCCCAATAATATCCTTTATAATATTGTATTTCCCATTAGTGCAAGACCCAGCCCAGGAAGACATACTGAATTTAAGTGTCACGGCTGTTTAGTCTCTTTTAATATGAAACAGTCAGCCTTTCATAACATTGACATTTTAAAAAGAACACAGGTCAATTTTTACAATGCTCTTCAGTTTGGATTTCCTCTTGTGATTTGTGTCCTTTTCAGGGTATCGCAAGGTGTCTGTCTGCCTCTGATTGGTGATGTTAATTTCGATCATCCATTCAAGGTGTAGTCCAGTTTCTCCACTGCATACTCTTTTGCTTCTTGCAACTAATAAGCAATCTGTGGAAAGATACTTTGAGACCATAAAAATATCTAGAAATTTTATAATATTTATCTTCTGTATAATTTACAGTTTGGTCTTGGATCTTATCCTGGATTTTGATTCAAGTTATTGTAAAGAGAGCTTTAAAATGCCCAGGTGTTAGGGTGCAACGTATAACTCCACAGTTCTTGTTATTTACTATTTCTTTAAAGAAAACAATTCATATTATTAAAGAAACTATTGGTTATGCTTATTTTTACATATTAATCCTCAATCTTTTCAATTAAAAATTATGCTTTTAAATTGTTAATATAGTTTAAATGCAGATGATACAAAGAGTATACTGTGAAGAGTATACTTATCAGCTACTCAGTACTGTTACAAGTTTTTCTGTGTCCTCATATAGTTTCTGAATGTAAAGCAAAAATATATATATCCCTCCCCCCACCACCATACTAATTGATGTTTGTCTATACTTTCCATACTGTTCTGCATTTGGCTTTTTTCATTTAACAGTATATCTTAGAGATCATTAAATATCAGTAACTTAAATATGAGCTTCTTCACTCATTCTGATGGCTGCATGGTATTTCATTATATACATGTACCATAACTAGTTCAGCTAATCCTCTGTTGACATTTAGGTTGTTTCCACTCTCTCTTATCTTTGTATAAACTATGATGCAGAATAACCGTGTACATATTTCAGTACATGTGCAAGTATGTTTATCATATAATTTCCTGGATGTGAAATTTTTCAGTCAAAAAGTTTGTAATTTTGTACTGTCATTTTGATAAATGTTGCCAATGTACCCTTTATCAAGATTCCACAGAGACTATGACGATTTATAGGGAATGCATTTTAGCACAATTGTCCTTTATCTCCTTTGTACCGTATGAAATGACTGTGAGAAAAGAAATTTGAAAACAGTATTAACCAAGAAGATTCTAAAGAAGAAGATTTCCAAAAATGATGTATTCGATATTGCGAAATATAATTCTTAGGGTTCAAAAAACTTACCTCATGATGAGGCTGGAATTTTAAATTCTTATAAAGGCTGTTGTTTCTCCCACTCAGAAGTCTTGCTATTTGGCTTATATTTTTATTTTAATAATGCACATATTTCCCAGTCTGCTATAAACAACTGAGTACAAACTCAGGAAGGTGGCAAATAGTTCAGTTGTTGTACAGACATAAGCCCTGGCAGAGGGGAAGAGGAAAAAGGGCTCTCAGCTGGCCTCTCCTGCAGGCTTTTCTTGTCCTTGAGACATTTTCCTTGCCCAAACAAGAAGGGAAAATTATTTTCCAGTCTTAAATCAAGTGCCAAAATTATTCTTGGAATTGCTCCCTTAATCTGTCAGTTTCGTTTTTTCCCATGGAGGCGTGATCAGGGCGACCAAACCTTCCTAGTCAGAATCGGGGTTGGAACTTGATTACTCCCACAGACAGCTGGTTTGGAAAAACTCCTTGCAAGGTGATTTCAATAAGGAGCTAGAAACATCAGAGAGCTGGTGCTGGGATCTGAAGCTATAACCATACGAGTGACTTCAGTCTTTCTACAGTGCTAGTGGCTAACAGAGTTACAAAGAAATTAATCATCTCCAGAGATTTCTTAGGAATGAGAAGACTGAGTAATCGCATTTCAAGGAACCAAACTCCTTAGTGTTGGTCTCCAGTGCATTTCTCAAGTTCTTTGTTTTCATTCTCTTTCCCAGTCTGGTCTGGTCAAGAGTGTGGGCTTTGGAGCACCTCAGCTCACACCCAAGCTTTGTCCCTTGCTGGCTCCGAATGGCAGGTAAGTTAGCCTCCCAGAGACAAAGAGTTTTGACCAATAAAACTGGGGTCACACTACCTTCCTTATGGTGTCATTGTGAGTATTAAAGGAAGTCAAGTGTATGGACACAGCGCCTAACACAGTCTTGATGAATAAGCCTCAATAAATGTTAGCTTCTTTCCTGTTATCACCCTTTCACCAGTGGCCTAAAACTCATTCTTCCAGAGCTTATAGTCTTGACCAATATTAAACTAGAAAAGAAGCATGGTGGTAATGCAATCTGATCAGCACAAGAATTTTGACCTGCTCCATTTCCGACCTGGGTGGGCAATCTGAATAGAAACACCAGGCTTCACCTATGCCTAAATTAGAAGTTGGAAATTTTTAAAAATATATTCATTTTTCTCTGGTGGTAAGATTTCAAACTCTCAGAAATGTATTTTGCAGTGTTTGACATCCACACTGTTAGAAAATCCACACCCTTGGGGGCAACTCTGGCAGGTTTATAATCAAGTTAAAAACTATAGCTTATATTTAAATATTACACACCCTTGTAAAGCAATTTAGATACAAATAGAATTTTTACAAAAATCAAGTGAAAATATGTCCTTTCTTTCCTCTCCCCAGAGCATATAAAAAGGCAGCTCTCAAGAATAGGGAATGGTTTTATCATAGATGGAGACTCTGAAAATTCTCTGAAACTAATGGTTTCTAGATTTTATAAATACAAATATACAGTAATGAATTATTTTACTCTAAAATATTTATGTATAGATATTTCACAGGGACCAACTTATTTAACCAGAGACTGGCTAGCCTTTCATCAAAATTGTTTCCTTCTCTTCCTAGACATGCAGGTAGACTATATTTCCCAACCTTGCTCTTAGTATACCGAGTGGAATGTGGTCAAAGTGTTATATACCACTTCCAGGCTTGGCCCATTAAAACTCTCATTCATCACCCTTCATGCCCTGGATTCCTCCCAACTGACAGGAAAGGAGATGACTCCCAGGGCAACCTTGGGAGCCACACTTTTATATGGAAGGAGCCTGGATCCCTGAACTGCTTAGAGGAGAACTGCCCTACCAGGAACATCTGCATTAGACTATTTTGTGAGTGAGAAATAAGCTTTTTTGTATTAAGCTACTGATATTTTGGAGGGTTTACCTCTTATAGCAGCTATTATTACCAAAATAGTCTTAAACATCTCAAAATTCTTAAATATCTTTATACAACTCCCTTTCTTCCCTCCCCTCCTCCTCCCTCCTCTATTTCCTTCCTTCTTCCTTCCTTCCCTGAGACTAATAATAACATATTCCTTCTAGACACTACTCTAAGCACTGGAGATGTTGGAACAAAGCACATAAATCTTTGGAGGCAACAGACAATAAACAAATAAACAATATGGTTTCAAGTACTGATAATTGCTTAAAAGAAAACTAAAAAGGAATAAAAGGAGTCAGAGAGTGACAGGGGGTATCTTTTGGACAAGTTTTTTAGGAAAGGGCTTTCTGAGGAGGTGGAATTTGACCAGAGATCTGAAGGATACAAAGAAGTTAATCATACGAAGATCTGAACAGATAAAGAACTCTTAACAATCATTTCTCTGAAAGCAATGATCTGTAGGAGAGAAAAAAAACCTAATAGTACAGAAATGACTCACCTTAGTCAAAGATGAGTCAAAGAGAGAGAGATGAAACTCAAACCCCAGATTTATGTATTCCTTACCTAATTTTGCTCTTGGCCAGGAATCTTTAGCATCATCAATAAGTTCTTCCTTCCACTTTTGGATGACTAGTTCCATACTTGTCAGTCCTTCCATTTGAAGTTTGCCCATGTATTCAGGCAATTCAACAAATATAGTAGTATGTCAGGCTCTATTCTTAGACACTTATAAACACTATCTAAATGAACCTAACCGGGAACTCCTTAACTCCTCCAGTCCTTAATTTTCTCATCTCTAAAATGGTGACAGTTCTAGGAACTAAGTTACTGTATAGACTAGTTCTAATGATACATGAGATCTTACACATAAAATGCTAGTACAGAGTAGGTGGTAAAGAAACATTTTTATTGAAGTTAAATTAACCTGCTGCATGCCATTCAGAGCCCATGCCTATCAAATACCCAAGTCTGAGTTTTTTAAATTAAAAAAAGCAATCTATTTCTGCCTTCTTTTAGGGTCATACACCAATTCAATACTGATTTGAAGGGAAAGGATAGTCTTTCCATAACTTTTGTAGGTGGGGCATCAGGAAGTTGGCTCTGGAAGGCAGGAGGCTTTGTGTTAGAGACGCTCATTCCTGAGCAACTGACCTGGGATAATCATCTGGCTGTCTGAGGCGAGATCACTGCTGGCCACTGTGCTGTCCAGCTCGATGGGGCACCATTCACATAGAGCTATGAGTCATGATCTCTTGGTGAGTTGGGAAATCAATCTGTGAGTCATGGCCAGCATGTTTTAAAATCTTTATTGAAGTATAACTTAAAAGCAGAAAAATACACACATCAAAAGTATACAGCTCAATAAACTTTTACGGAATGAACACGCCCGTGGAACCGGCCTGACGTGAAAAAACAGAACACTGCTAGCATCTCAGGAAAACAACTCCTACGCCCTCCCAGTCGCGACCTCTCTAACACGAGCTTGATTTCCAGCACTAGAGATAAGTTTTGCCCTTTTGGAATTTCACATAAATAAAATCATATGGTATGTATTCTTTTGTATTTGGCTTCTTTTGCTCAGCATGACATTTGTGGAATACATTCGAGTTGTTGCGTGTGTCGATGATTCCTATTGCCATAGAATATTCCTTTATATGAATAGGCTGCAATTTATCCATTCTACTATTAATGGACATTTGGGTTGTTTTTAATTTTTGGCCATTACCAATAGCGATGTAAAAGAACAACCCTTTATCATGCTCACAGATTTCACAAGTCAGAAATTTGGAAAGGGCACTGTGGAGGCGGCTTATCTCTGCTCTAATGAGGTCTCAGGTCTGGGGCCTCTGCTAAAAAGACTCAATGATCGGGGTGAGTTGATGGTGACGCCAGCACATGTCTGGCACCCGGGCTGAGAGGACTCTTAAGTGCTACCAATTGGGTCACCTATATGTGGGCTCTCTGGTAGTTTGGCTTCTTCACAGTATGGTGGTCTCAGGGTAGTTGGCCTTCCTACATGGTGGCTCAGAGCTCCAAGCATGAGTGTCTCCAGGAGCAAGGTAGAAGCTTCGTGGCTTTCTCTACGTAGAGAGGAAAAACTGTTTTTCCTCCACCCATCTTAGGTTCATTGGCTGGGGCCCTGTAAATTAGACTGACAAAAAACAGATTAACAAGAGAAAAACATGCAGCATTATTTACAATAGCCAAGATATGGAAGCAACTTAGGTGTTTATTGATATATATATATATATTCACATACACACATACACACACACAAACATATGCACACACTATATATATGTGTGTGTGTGTGTGTGTGTGTGTATACATACCACATATACACACACACACACACAATAGAATATTATTCAGCAATAAAAAAAGAATGAAATCTTGCCATTTGTGACAATATGGATGGACTTAGAGGATATTATGCTATGGGAAATCAGTTAGACAGAAAAGACTAATACTGTATAATTTCACTTGCCTGTGGAATCTAAAACGAAACAAAACAAAACTAATAAACAAACAAAACAAAATAGAAACAGACTCATAGACACAGGGAACAAACTGATAGTTTCCAGAGGGGAGGGCAGTGGGTGTATGGGTAAAAAAAGTAAAGGAGAATAAGAGGTACTAACTTCCAGATATAAACTAAAGAAATCACGGGACTATAGTATGGGGAATATAGTCAATAATATTGTAGTTAGTTCTCACAGTAGCAGTTAATCATCAGTTACTAGATTTATCATTGCAATCACATTGTAGGGTATATAAATATAGAATCACTATGTTGTACACCTGAAACTAATATTATATGCCAACTATAATTTTAAAAAATAGAAAAATGAGCAGAAGTTTATTAACATGTGCATCGCACATACACGTGAGAACACCGTGATGGATAACTCAAGGGGTTGTTAGAACTTGGACTTAAACAGCTTCTTAACAAAAGAACTATACATTTTTAGAGAAGTGACAAGACAAATAAAAAGGACTTCAAGTTTTTAGCACAGCAAATTGTGGGAAGGTAACTATATGGGGGAACTAATGGGAGATAAGGGTTAATGTTAGCGAGGTTTGTTATGCAGATTCCTCTAGTGCCATCTCTGGGCTGGGGCTGGCTGATAAGGTCTAGAGTTGTCTCTGGTGATTAACTTCCCTCCTTCTTGAGAGAGAGGAGTTGGGGGCACCTTTACAAATTTATGTCCTGCATTGAGGCAAGTAGACAGAAGATAGAGAGCTTTTATCACATTTGCCTTTTCCTCAATTGCTTTCAGCTTAAATGAATCCTAATGTCAAAGTGGCATCTTTTGGGCCGGTATATTCTGCTACCCTCCATTGACTTAACTTTGAAAGTCACATAGCATCACTTCCACAGCATTTTATTTGGTACAATGAGTACATATAGTACAATGAGTACAATGAGTCATAAGCCTTCTTGATTCAAAGGGAGGACACTCAGAACCTACTTCTCCTAGTGAGGAGTTTCTAGGTAACATTATAGGAAAGCATATGAGAGATTGCAGCAGCCATCTTTGGGAAATACAATCTGCCCAGCTGCTATGACTATTCTTG